TCTTAGGTTAAAAACAATGTTAAATCCAGTGAAAGCTCGGACCTGTCTGTTTGTGGGCGGTGTTTCATTCGAGTTTAAGAAAATTTCAGGTTCCATGCTAATAAATGAGAAAGTATGTGTGGATTTTCCCTTCGTTACGTCAATATTTCTTTGAGTGTATAATGTACATTTACCTACATATATTAAAGATTGTACAGGACACATATATCTTCAACTGGAGTATAGTAACCATTAAGATGTCGTATATAAAAAATAAAAATTAACCATGACATTGATTTCGTCCTTCCGCTCCTCCCACTCCAGCAAATATTAATAAGTTATTAAGGATAAAGCACGAATGTTAAAACAGTAGGAGAGGTAAATTAATTCAGATGTGGATATCAGAATAACGGTAGATCGATGTACAAGTTGAACGGATACACAGAGGGATATAGGACGATATCAGAATAACGGTAGATCGATGTACAAGTTGAACGGATACACAGAGGGATATAGGACGATATCAGAATAACGGTAGATCGATGTACAAGTTGAACGGATACACAGAGGGATATAGGACGATATCAGAATAACGGTAGATCGATGTACAAGTTGAACGGATACACAGAGGGATATAGGACGATATCAGAATAACATTAGATCGATGTACAAGTTGAACGGATAAACAGAGGGATATAGGACGATATCAGAATAACATTAGATCGATGTACAAGTTGAACGGATAAACAGAGGGATATAGGACGATATCAGAATAACGGTAGATCGATGTACAAGTTGAACGGATACACAGAGGGATATAGGACGATATCAGAATAACATTAGATCGATGTACAAGTTGAACGGATACACAGAGGGATATAGGACGATATCAGAATAACGGTAGATCGATGTACAAGTTGAACGGATACACAGAGGGATATAGGACGATATCAGAATAACGGTAGATCGATGTACAAGTTGAACGGATACACAGATGGATATAGGACGATATCAGAATAACGGTAGATCGATGTACAAGTTGAACGGATACACAGATGGATATAGGACGATATCAGAATAACATTAGATCGATGTACAAGTTGAACGGATAAACAGAGGGATATAGGACGATATCAGAATAACATTAGATCGATGTACAAGTTGAACGGATAAACAGAGGGATATAGGACGATATCAGAATAACGGTAGATCGATGTACAAGTTGAACAGATACACAGAGGGATATAGGACGATATCAGAATAACGGTAGATCGATGTACAAGTTGAACAGATACACAGAGGGATATGTAAATATGACAAATGTGGATACACAACGGAGGTTGTTTGTAAGTGTGACAGTGACATTTAATTTCATCGTGTTTACAGGTTACATGACACAACCTGATTGGCTATTTTGTGTGGCATTCCGCTGACTTCACGTAACTTTATCAGACAAAAATCCATGATGAAGGCTAACTACCTAATTAGTAAAATTTTATTACTATTAATTATGACATTTTTATTATTTAAGTGGATATGATATTTCGATAAAACCAGCTCCTGTTTTTTTATCTCGTGTTTGTTGTGGTTGTTTAATGCCTTAATTCGTAGTATCAAGTGCTAATGTCATTAACATAAAGTCTCACGGTTTTTTTTAAAAATAAAACATCATAAAAAATGTGAAAAAAAAGGAAAAAGAAAATCAAATGAAAATATAGCAAATAACAATAAAATATTTTAAAGGTATAAGAAATTTATAATGTATATGCAATGACGGAGAGTTGAAATATGAATAACATGATGTTCCACGATGTGTAACAAAGCGGACTAAGAAATGAACCTCAATATTCCACAATATTACTAACAGAGTTGGACAGTTTCACACTTACATTGTCCACCATATTTTATATTTTAAACATCTCTATTTTAAACAAGAAGATATTAATGTGTAATCGATATTGTAAATCGAGAATCAATAGGACATGGACTGTTTCAGATTTCATCAATCACTCAGGCATGCTATAACATAAACATTCAACATGGTTCACAAAGATTGAACATAATATGGCAACATATATAATACATATACTATTATGATACATGTATTATGTATATAATATAATGATACTTGTGATACAGATGAATAATAGTTCTTGTAATATATATGATGATACGTGTAATACATACGATAATATAAGTAATATAATATTATAGTACATAATACATATAAAGTGTTATACTTGTAATACATAAAATAATGTATATTATAAATACAAATAATGATACATAATGCGTGTAATATATATAATTATATACATAATAGATACAAATAATGACACATAATGCGTGTAATAGATATAATTATATACATGATAGATACAAATAATGATACAAAATGCTTGTAATAGATATAATTATATACATAATAGATACAAATAATGATACATAATGCGTGTACTAGATATAATTATATACATAATAGATATAAATAATGATACATAATGCGTGTAATAGATATAATTATATACATAATAGATACAAATAATGTTACATAATGCGTGTAATAGATATAATTATATACATAGTAGATACAAATAATGTTACATAATGTGTGTAATAACAATAGATATAATTATACATAATAGATACAAATCATGTTACATAATGCGTGTAATAGATATAATAATATACATAGTAGATACAAATAATGATACATAATGCGTGTAATAGATATAATTATATACATAATAGATACAAATAATGATACATAATGCGTGTAATAGATATAATTATATATATAACAGATACAAATAATGATACATAATGCGTGTAATAGATATTATTATATGCATAATAGATACAAATAATGTTACATAATGCGTGTAATATATATTATTATATACATAATAGATACAAATAATGATACATAATGTGTGTAATAGATATAATTATATACATAATAGATACAAATAATGTTACATAATGCGTGTAATAGATATTATTATATATATAATAGATACAAATTATGTTACATAATGCGTGTAATAGATATTATTATATACATAATAAATACAAATAATGTTACATAATGCGTGTAATAGATATTATTATATACATAATAGATACAAATAATGTTACATAATGCGTGTAATAGATATTATTTTATACATAATAGATACAAATAATGTTACATAATGCGTGTAATAGATATTATTTTATACATAATAGATACAAATAATGTTACATAATGCGTGTAATAGATATAATTATATATATATACAAATAATGTTACATAATGCGTGTAATAGATATAATTATATACATGATAGATACAAATAATGTTACATAATGCGTGTAATAGATATAATTATATACATAACAGATACATATAATGAAACATGCAATACAAAACCATACAAGAGAGCTCTAAAACATGATTTACAATGTAGAATGAAATAATTAATACAGGTAAACGATATTGTTGAATTTCTAGAAATCTATCAACATAATTAACAATTAAATATGCACCAAAGAAAAAACAACTGCGTCATGTTAATTGATACTTGGATATTTGCTATAATAATTAAAGATGAATTTGGATTTTAAGTTGTAGTGTTTGTATATCATTATATTCGTAATAATAATGGTATTCATCGCCGATTTCGTTAACACAAAATGTACCCATTTTGACATGGAACAACACTCCTCCAGCGTCGTGTTTCTATCTGAAATTTAAACCCCGTGTAGATGTTAAGTGACTGCTGTACTGGGATAGGCGTCCTGGTAAACATCCACTTAGCTCTTACGTAATGTGGTATGGCTGACCATGTATCTCACACAGTCACAGTAGGCCCCCCCCCCCCCCCCCCCCCCCCCCCCCCCCCCCCCCCCGTGTTTATATCTTATATCACCTCTGTATAATAGTAACTGTATATTGTATACCTAATAGAGAACACATGCAACATTATTCACATTGACCGAAACCAACTAAGTATATACCTACATTCCCTCATAATTTAAACTCAAATTCAATAACATTAAAACAAGATAATAAAAGAAAGATTTACACGGAGACTCCAGAAAAAATACAAGGAGGTTAAGACAAGGTGTTTCGGTAGAGTAAGGGGGAGTGAGGGGGGATGTTGCTTCCTAGTAATGAAATTTTACAAATTTTAAAATTGCAAATCATACAGATTGGCTAAGATTTCGTTGTATAAAGATCGAGGTGCATTTGGAAGCGACTGGTGTAGAAGTCTATTGTGTTCTTGTTTTCCAGTTCAGGTGGGTATGTAAGATGGACATTCTTGTTATTTAAAGACGAGACATCATCAATATACATTTTTATATGAGAGTGAAATTTGAAGAACTATCGCATTTTGAACAAAAACAAAGGTATTTTGAGCTGGAAAAACAAACTTTAGAAAATGAGTTTGTCTGTCCAAATTATCTAAAAATGTTGTTTTTGTTGTTGAATGCTTTCTCGAAAAAAATGCACTACAATTGACTTAACCCAGTTCTCACTTGCGTACATTTTGCACATGTTTAAGTTTAGTTTAGTTTGTGTGTGAATTACTAACCATGACAGTGTATGCGTAGGGACATGTATGTGTTCGAAGTGTCGGATACAATGTAGGAGGCGAACGCGGATGTTTTCTGTCAGTACTGCAGTGTCTGGTTTGGCAAACACCTGTTTATTATTGTTTTTCACCACTTACACTAAAACCTGATGTCTGTTTCTATTTGTGTATTCGATCCTTCCGGAAACTATTGTGATATCTCTTGAACATGTATTTTTGTCAATATTTTCATTATAAATAACTGTTTGTTTATATGTTAACATTATCCCGCCCGATTGTTTTGTATAATGGTAATAAACATTTACTTGATCAGAGTATCAAAGTACACCAAGTCACAGATATAACGGCAAGGCTGAGCAACTCGTTCTATTAAGGCAACACAGATCGAAAACGGTACGCGCGTGCGCGTATGAATGAAATGGACACGGCCCAGTGCCCATATATATTGGTGCGCTCCCTCCCCGGTTTGTATACACTGAAGGGATATATCTAAGTGGCTCATTTTCCATCAACACCTTGACCGGCCTAAGTCCTCTCTTGCAGCCGAACGTAAGTACTTTTACATCAATTGGGTGTACATAACATCTATAATGTAGCATGATTACAACAAATTGATAACCTCCCAGTGAAAAACTTTATGATATACCGACTAATTTTTCTCTTCTGATAGTTAGTATTGTCTGTACTAAGTAAAACTATAACATAGCACTGATGATAAATCAGGTATATAGATCAGTTTTCAGAATGAATCTCCTTCCTCACAATTTAATCACAAAATTGGTTAAACTACATCTACTCTGTACGCTATTTTTCTAATGTCGCGTGAGCGTCCTTTACCTGAAAATATAGCATCGTTTCGTAAGCGTGACTAGCAGTAAATCCGATACGTATTTTTTTTTATCTGAAGCGTTTTTTACCGTCTTACTGGAACCCTCTGTCCAATAGGTAGATCGTTTTATCGGTAAAGGTCATTCTCCATACGATATCTTATATAAATCCTATACACAATGAGACATCTTGATTAAAACTGAGAGGAATATTTGATAGGATGTAATTAATCCTTGATTTCAGGTACGCACATTATGTACCGATGAGTCATCAATTACGAATCTCATTCCGTAATGTTATATCTCAGCTGGCCTCTTAATGACGTCAGAAATAATCGGAAACAATATGCTTACTTAAAAATAGCCATCATCGCATAATAAGTGTTCTTTTTTCATTTTTATCCTGTGCCATACCGCCGGTCAAATATCTGTCTCCTCAAGCGACGTTAGTATACGTGTGGTTTCATTATCCTTGATTCGGTTTTTACTTTGAAAACCTGACATTATTCAAGTTTACCTAGATTTACGTGGCGAGTGCATTAAAGAAGACGCTAACAATTCTAACAGTTAAGTGTGATTTTTAAGCATCGTTAGTTCTTTTCTCATATTTTGGCATGAAATTGAGTAAAAAAAGTACGGAAATGTGCCGATTATAAAATACGGCTTTTCGCGAGGTGAATCCACCAGACTATATGGTATTTAAGTAATTTTACCCCACATTCTTTAGTCCTATCGAAGCTGAATCGACACGTGCTCGGAGCATCGAGAAGGGTGTGGTTTCCTTTACCTATACAAAGTGCCTTTGATATTGTGGTAATTGTAGACCCTAATCAACAGATCCATCTGAAAAGAATTTGTTGTAAACAGAGAGGAATTATTCACTCTGATCCTTGAAATGGTAAAAGAGCCTCTTGAAAGCATGGTTGTATGTTTGAAACAAGTCTAATTATGCAAGAAATTATTTTTCTCTAAATAAATGCGCATACATCCACAATAACACTCCAGTTATTGTTCGTCCCTCGTAAAAGCTACTTGATGCATGTTTTTCCCAAAGAACTAATGAACACATGTTTAGAGCCCAAATACTTAAAACAAATTCTCAATTTAAATGGCATCCAAACCGTTTGAGAAATCTGGAAGACGTACAAAACCTATAATTCGTATTAATTGAACTTCGTAGGTGGCACAATATTATGTGGTATTATAAATTGTAAGAACGCCAACTATCTCATATCGACGTCTGAAAACCGTATACAAGCACATCTACAAAATATTCTTTCATCCGATTTATCTTATGTATAAACTAAAAAAATGACACATTCTTCTCTTGTGCTAATAAACATCTGAAGAAAACAAGGTTGTATGTCGTGTTTAGCCTATATAGGTGTATGAAATAGCTTCATGGCACATTGTGAACGATCTGCATCTTTATAAAGTGCATACCTAATCATTTAGCGGCTATTTTCACGGACAGCTGTAATTAATGCTAGTTCTGGTTTAGTGATACCCTTGTTAGCGTCGTTATCACATGACAATACCTATTATGGGGACGTTGAATCCCATCTGAACTCACAATAAAAATCTTTCAACTTTCTTTAATCCCATTTTCAATTTTCCGCCTTATTGATACCATAAACTTACTTTTTTCGCGCAAAATCACGTTTAGATGATTGGCACAATGATAAATTCACGCATCCATAATAATCACCATCAGCATTAAGAAAAAACAATCAACGTTATCATGTCTCAGCGCAATGCTTTCGAGCGTGAAAAACGCTAAAACACGCATGTAAAAATCTGATTCCGCATTTTTGACTATTTTCACTGAACAGTTCCAAACTTTTAGTGTAACAGATTCAAACAATATTCTTGTCATAAGTTAGTAAATCATTACCCTATGGTTATATGTTGTATCGTCACCATGTCATCATCATTATCGTTCGATCTTGTAAAATCGTTGTTCCGTATGAACGACATTTACACTAATCATGTATAAACTATTGTTTGAACGGTGACTTTGGCTTTCTTTTATATAAATACCAAAATGTTGATCTTGGTGGTCTGGCGTAAATCTGAACTAAATCTATTGATGGATGTATGTGTCATTGAGCAAGCAGTGCTCAAAGATGTCCTTTATCTTGACCAAAGGCCACCGAAATGTAATTACGTAGACACTGATACTGTGATGTTATGGAGTAAAATGAACCACATTTGGTCGGGGGCGTGGTGCGAGATTTGAGGGGGGGGGGGGGGGGGGGGGGCGTGGTGCGAGATGTGGTGGGGGTAGCTTATGCCATACTGATTACTACATACACTACATATTTATCTAAGTGTGTGTGAGGTGGAAGGAGAGGGTCAATTATAGAACATTATATAACATATACATCTGTTGTACTTAACCTTGTACATCTCTAAACGCTACACAAGATGCACTTTAAACAAGTCCCCGCAAGGAACCTACTCTATGTGATACAATGGCTACATTACAACAAAGTTACATCACAGACAGCAAAACCATGACAAAAAGGTGGTATCATCTACCAATACCCTACTAATTGTAAATGAAACTGTTCAATTTAGCCAGCGTCCATACCCTCTCGCATGGCCCAATCCCATACTGTAATTTGTAACCTCTCTTGCAAAACTTAGATAGGAGTCCTTTCCTGCCATGGAGGTCATTCCTCTTCTGTTACTATGCGCTGTTCATGACTGGCATACCAGGAGATATTTTATGCTTGACAACTGTTATTTCTGAGTCCCTAACGGCGAAACCGTGTGGTCTTGGTGATGGAATAAAGATGTTGGCTAAAATAGATGATAGTACAGGTCACACCCCGCAGTCCATTGGCGTTTATCGGATAGCAAGCATGATGTTCCAAATTAACCGGGACTACTATGTATCAGGCCGAAGCTATCGAAGTACCAGACCGAGGCTATCAAAGATGACGGTAGATGACGTCATTAGGTGTAACACATAATGGGTAGTACTAACCAACGTCTCGTGCAGGGTCAAATCCAGAAACATTGACAGGCAATAGTAATAGAACCTCTCAACAATTGCCAAAGCGTTTGTTAAAGCCCTGTGCGAACCTCTTTGGCGAGGGATTTCATTCACGGAGACAATGTCTTAAGCTGTAATTATTTTTAGAAGAGTACATTTAAAATGGAAGGTTTATACTTTTTTTGTGGGTATTTTCCGACTATCATATAAAACAACAACAACATGAAAATTGAGATGTTGAATACTGGCATTCAGAACATTGTTATGATTGTCTTGCTCTCCCCGTACATTAACGTTGTTGGTTGATATGAAATAGAAGCACTGCCACAACCGATTTTTTTTGTCAATGAACATCAAAGCCGAAAATAAAAACAGAATGGACTTAATGTTTCGCAATCAAAACATACAAAGGAATCAATTACATAGGGAATTATTCTCGTTTGTGGAATCAACACGTAACATTGGCTGCTGCGAATCGTAAAACCTTCGACAATTAAAACCAGAAAAAAAGGGAATTACGTCACCGCATTGTCTTCTAACGAGGATGAAAACTTTCGATGCCATCACTTACCAATATATGTATTCCTAATTGGCTGTCATGACAACGTGTTTAAGCTATTTGCTATTGTGTAATACAACTATTTGTATATTGGTAGAAGGGACATTACAGTTTTCTTTCATCTGTTTCAGTCCTATACCGTCTTTACCAAACAATGGCTGTTTCAGTTACAGAACCCGTTGTAGCTAAAGCTTCGTTGACTATAACGACTACTCTACATGTTGGCTATTCTCCTGTTATAACAAGTTTACGACCAGCTACATTCATGAAAAGCAGGCTGTCATTTATCAGTATTGTTTGCAGTCCCACATCATCACAGCATGTTTGTCCACGGCTAATGGAATCTTTAGATTATCTTTGGCGAAGTTTCCATTTAAAAGTATTGATGAGAAATAAGTCGTTGTTACTTGCGGTATATCACCGATAACAAGGTACAACACTTCGCATCTCCTTAATTACAGAGCACGTATTGTATTCATTACCACGATAAACATTTTATACGTGTCTCGCAGTTAATAACATACATATATACCAAGAATCCTTCTCGCATACCTTTTAACACAACCGTGTATATGCTGTACAATTGTCTTATTTCGCGCGTAATTAACTTCGCGAACATACATTTGTGTTACATCCGAAGAAATTAACCTAGGCTTTGGCTTGTGAGGGCTTCTCACACGAAACGAATACATTTCACATACACTATTAGTAGTATGTAAGCATAGGGGTTAAAATGCATAGCGACAGTAAAAAGGTTAGAAATGGTATAAAGTTAGCAGAGGGAAAGGTAGAGGATTGTTTATAAGTAGAGAGCTGATAGTGCGCTGAGAATTAGAAGAGAGATGTATTGTATATTGTTGAAAGTGAGGACAGATGATTGGTTGTGAGCTCAAAACTGATAGATATACATGTACCCTTACTCAGTTTAATGAGTGAAAATTATATGGTCGTATACTGACACTGATTTCATTAAACGTTCATTTCCGACAAAATAAATATAATTTATCACGGATATGAAATTACAAATAAAACTGTGGGACGTTTTTTTTTTATCTTTAAGGATATTTATCAGGATGTCGACACCAGTTCATGGACTTGCTGCTAAAGCAGTGTTTTATGAAAAAGAGAGTTTACATATCATACAAAGTCATGTTCATATATT